AATATACCAAGCATCTAGTGTACTTTGTTGGTGGACAGGAATGACATGAACACGTAGTCAACATTGGCCTAGAGTGTGCTCAAAAGAAGGCTATGACCTGTTATAACCTCAATCAGGCTGGACTCTGACATCAAAACATTAGGATCATTAAGGAAAGTAGGGTATATACCATTGGTCTTATTCTGGAACTAAAAGTTTTCCATCGTAGCTCTGTAAGTTACTTTCTTACCAAGTTTCGCTACTTAACGAATGTAATAGAAACACGCATCCATATATTGTTTTAATAAAAAAGGAAAGAATTAAGTATGACGTGAAATAGTTTGGAAAAAAATGATTATGTGACTTAAATCCAGTGTGAAATGTGACCTGTTTGTATGAACTCTATTTATCTTAACAAGGTATGACACTCCGTCACTATAGACTTCAGGTTGTGTACGTATAAGGAGTTAACTGTGTCTTGCTATTTGTGATCCTTACACATGTTATGTGACTGATTAACGAATGTAATAGAAACACGCATCCATATATTGTTTTAATAAAAATGGAAAGAATTAAGTATGACGTGAAATAGTTTGGAAAAAAATGATTATGTGACTTAAATCCAGTGTGAAGTGTGACCTGTTTGTATGAACTCTATTTATCTTAACAAGGTATGACACTCCGTCACTATAGACTTCAGGTTGTGTACGTATAAGGAGTTAACTGTGTCTTGCTATTTGTGATCCTTACACATGTTATGTGACTGATTAACAATGTAATAAGACTTAAATGAGTATAGAAATATAATCATATTGCGCTGCTTAGAGACGACTCTGAATTTATAAGCTGGTAAAACCAAGTCTTTATTCCTACTGGGAATGAAACAACAAGAAAAGTTTGGTTGATAATATCGTCCTCATCGCTAAACTTTTTATTGTGATCGATATTGAAGATTAAGTTACTGTGTTACAGTGAGTTCTTGAGTAAAGTTGACAAATGGATACAAAATGTATGTACCTGTTTTTTGGTTTGTACCTTCTCTGGACCAACCTATGAATGCCGATCTATCAACTTCTTCAACATGATCTTTGTAATTTTTAAAAATGATGACATTATCATTATGCTTGAATAACATCCCTTCCACAGCAACGAATGGAGACTGCAATATCCTCATAGGCCTTGAAACCTGCTTAACTGGTAATTCAAAAGTTTGTTTAGCAATAGGTGATTCTTGTGTAGTGCTATAATATGTTACATTTTAGTTTATGTATAGTCATTAAGTTGAACATCCAGCATATGAACTGTCTGCGACATGGTTTATAAATATGTGCTTGATCTATAACCTATGACCATTTACTAGTTGTGACCTATGTGTTTCGTAAATCTTGGATTTGTGAATATTTCTTTATCAACATTTTTTGTTACTGTCACCACATATGATATTATAGACTCTAAATGCTTCAGAATTTCTTTAGAATGTAAAATGTCAGGTTGTGTAGATCAGATCCCTAAATCAAATGACGGTTACTAGAGAATATATAGGAGACCAAAATCATCAGTTGAGTCCATTTTACCCTTTCATTTTCTATCGACCTTTGGTTTTACATTTTTCACCGTACATTAAATAGGAGAATGTTTGAAATGTCAGATACAACTATGGTCACTTATAGAACATAAAAATATCATGTAATTACCTCTTCGGCCTTATCAAATCCTCCAAGTCCAAGAGCTTCCATATCTCCAACTCCATAATCAAATATTTTATTACCGAACTGTCTCATAATCTCGTCCATTGAATTGAAAATCATTGCTGACATCAATTTTGACAGAAATTGCATGTTTGTCTTAATCTCCATTAAGTTACTTTTTATTCAGCTTACATTTGGACATGCAATTCAATTTCGTTGTTTGCACAGCATTCAAGGATAACATCTGAGACTTGATGTCATCAAGCTTCAAAGTAACACTTTATTATTTGACTTGAACTTAGATATTTGCAACCTCAACTCCTCAAACACCTAATAAAATAAATAACTTATTATATGTGACTTGTATATAGAGATCTATGACCAAATATGAACATATATTGCACACTGAAAACATAACTGCATCATATGTGACCTTATCTATATCACATGTGACTTGAAAATAATGATCTGTCACCAATGATGAAAATATTTTACAACTGACTATGGTAACAACTCACATCACCCCATTGCATCCCATAATAATGTAATTTTTTTGGAGAATGATGAGCAGCTAACAGGTCTTCATCAGTCGAGGATTTTCCATAGGAAGATGTCTCCTGCCATCTTGGTGGAGGATCAATGAAATTATTGTCGTCGTTGGGGACATGAGCCTGTTTAATATTACTGTTCTTAATAGGAGCACTAATGGACTGACTACTCATACCCAAACAATTAGCTGAGTTTTCCGTCCTACTCTTATTTCTGCCACCGTCACAGGAAAACTTCAGTTGAATTGACTTGTTGTATTGGACACCATTCATGTATGGCATACGCATTTCAGTTTTCGAGAGTTTCAAGTCACAAATCTCAATCTGCATTACAATATAGATTAGAAAAATTTAATGTCAACATATCCCTACTAAGTACATAACATTGAAACTTTACATTAGGGGTTGGAAAGCAGTCGGGTCCTTCAAACTTGGCCGTGGATGGTTGCTCATTTGCGATCTAGTTCTTGATGTGGAAATGCATTTTCTATATCTTTGTGACCACAATTCCATTGAGGCTAGGAAAAGTCTCATATATCCTACTTGGAGGGCTACCAACATACCTCGTAGCCTGTAGTGTGAAGTCTTCCTATTCAACCCATCTTTCAATGCACTCAAAGTAATTTAAAATAATAACTTGCCCCTAGGAATTAGTTCATTGTAGAGAAGTCCTCAACAAGAGTGAATAAGAAACAGTCAACAACCTTCTTGTAATCTCTGGAAAAGAGATAAGCAATGATGAAGTACAAAGTCCCAATCATAGCAATGCCATTATCTGGAAGGGCTTCAATAAGATCCAAGTTCGACATTTAGCACACAGATATAAATGTAGACTTGATGCCTTCATGTGTTATATTATCCACTTGAGAAAAGCATTTTGTCTTTAACAATGATGTCTATTTTCAAACATCCATGTATCACTATTTTCCAAACATCTCTGGCCTTGACTAAACAAAACTCCGAGATAGAGAATCGGACATATCGCCCAAACATATAGAACCACATTTCTTTGTCATTAGGGCAATAAACCTGCCTAAAAAAGAAGTAGTGAATTAATTACGGTTATATCACAATTTCATAGCAATCTAAGGAATGAGCAAAGCATGTGCCCATCAATATACGTTTTTGTCGTTGGCTTAATTTTGTTTGAATGGTGGTTGGAACACCCATATTCACTGAGGTTGTAATTTTGCCTTGGAAACCAGCTATCTTCTAGTATTTCAAATTGCTAGACCTGCATTAAGTGTTAACATAATGTTAAACACTTGCATTAAAAATCACACATGGAGAAAAATGTTACACACTGTTTAAAATCAGATCACATAATTATGGGCACAGACATAGATAAGGTTGTACACACTGTTTAACAAGGCCACAGACATAGATAAAGTTTTGCACCGAAGCCATATATTCATAAAATCTTGGTCGCATTAGAATATTACGGTCATATAATAACTCTTCATATTTAGCACGCATCATTCAAAAAGTTTAAAAATGGTCACATATGGACTTTTTATGTTTACAACACATATCATTCTTGAAAATAAAATCAGGACATAGGCACAGATAAGGTTATGTACTGAAGCCACATATTCATAAAACTTTGGTCATATTTATTGTAATGTTCACATGTGGACTATATATGTTTAGAACACATCATCGACTATATTCACAATCAAGTCATAGGCACACATAATGTTGTGCATTCAAGCCACAGATTCATAATAACCTCGATCACATTCGGATATATTAGTCATAAAATTAAAAAAAGAAAAATCTATTTCCATAACACATGAGAATCAAAACCAAAACCCTAACCCCATTCCAGTCAAGTCACAGGCAGACATAATGTTATGAAGTCAAGCCACATATTTATAACAACCTCAATCACATTCGGACATCATGGTCACATTTAGCTTCTTCATTGTTAGAAAACATACCGATCATAAAAATTGAAAAAGGAAAAATCAATTTCCATAACACATGGGATTCAAACCCAAAATGCTAACCCATTCTAATCACGAATGGAATTGAATAGAGTAAAGATCACAAATGTCCAATACATCTTTCCAACAACTTTTGAATACATACATGTCACTTAAATTATAAAAAAAAAGTCGAAATAATCTTGTTCGAGGACGCTTTCCGCATGGTCACGGAAGATGCGTGCTTTTTCAATGGAGTTTGTTTGGGGCTCCCCTCGTTCTTCCGCGTCTTCTTTATGGCATGTTTTCAATATTGATTACCCTTTCTACACCCTTCGATTTCACAATTTTACATCGCCTAGGGAATTGTCAATTTTCAAAATATATTTTACAACTGATTAATGGAATATATGATAAATATAATGGATTTAGTTGATAATATAGAGATATGAAGAATAAAATGTATTCAAAATGGTCGGAGTGGGAATCAAATGACCAGAGATAATGAGTGCAATTATGGGGGAAGAGTTTGAAAGAAAACAGATTTAGATAATAATGGAAGTTAAGATAATGGTAATTTGAATTAGGATATTTAAGGGAACGCGCCATAATTAAAATAATTAATATTTAATCGTCATAATTAAAGTAATTAATATTTAAATATTTTAACTCAATACCTGAATTATGAAAATACGTTAGCCCATGATGTTTGGACTGTGAACTTGAAATGCTTAGAGCCATGTATCCTGATTCCTCTTTTGATCATGGGCTTCGAATTGACCCAACTGTAAATTCATGATTTGGCCCATTAGGGAGACTTCTCGAATCGGGGGCCGTAAAGGCCTAGTGGATTGAAACCTGTGTTATCTTCGCAAGAAATTTCAGCACTCACCAAAAATGGAACCATAGAGAAAATCTCGGAGTCACCTGCTTGGGTCACATAAATTCCCAACTCTCTAACCCAGGCGTTTGGCTGTGTTTCTTCTCCACTTTCCTTATACCGGCTTTCTCTGACGAGATCTTCTTCTAGACTGACAATCAAAGGCAACAAAAACCATTTCTCGTGTCTAATTTGGCGAAAGCAAAACCTAGGTATGGATTTATACCTACACCCGTTTCTTGTTTTCGATTCTTAGTCTTTTTATTTGAATTATTGAACCCAGTTGTTATTATTGAATTCGAATTGTAATTTTGCCCCTATAAGAATCAAGATTTGAGTAGTAGTTGATTTGGGTATTTCTGATGCTTCTATATTTTGCATTTTTATTGTCTTTTAAAATTGATTACAATCATGAAAGTTATTTGAATTCAAATTAGATTTAAGACGCTCATTAGGTCATTAAAGAATTTCTATCCTCCTCTCGCTTCCCACGGACTGGTACAACGATTTTGGTTTAAATGATCAAATCCACGATGTATTCACAGTCATCCCCCCCCCCGCCCCGAGGGGGGGGGGCAACCCCGCCTCCTTTCTTTACTTTTTGTGATGTGAACTATTGAACTGTATGTTTTGGTCCTAGCAAACTTTAGCTGTGTACTAGAATTCCATTTTCTCATAAATGATTGGTTGGGAATTATTTTGAGACTTTTAGTACAATGTTAAATTTTGAAGTGTAAGCAATGTTCGTATTGTGTAAATTGTTCATTCACTAAAGTTGGTTCCTTTATTGCCTAATGGAGGTAGGTGGGTAGGCTCGAGTATGCATATGTCCATGTAAAGGATAAGTGCATGGTTGATGATAAACAATGTTTTACTAGAATGAAAATTTTCCGTGAGTAATGGAGATTTTAAGTGGTTTTTGTTGTTTCCTTCAAGATTTTTGTTAGTGTTTAAGTCCTGGCATGAGAGATTCAGGATAGCTGGTGTTTCTTTTGCAGGTGTAAATCAAGATGACACCTGTTTGTCCCTTCACTAAGGCTACTCGTCCTGATGATACTTCTGCCAAGAAACCCAGTGAAAATCAAAATAAAGCACAAGCAGGCAGTGACAGCAAGCCTAAGCAAGAGTCAACAATTTCTCCTAAGTGTCCCTTTGGATTCGATTCTCAAACATTTAAGTTAGGCCCTCTCAGCTGTATGATTTGTCAAGCACTTCTCTTCGAATGTAGCAAATGTGTGCCCTGTTCTCATGTATATTGCAGGTAAGAAGTGCTAATTGCCAACTTTTCCATCATTTTTTTCCTGCATATATGCACATCACTCATGTAATTAGGGTATTTTGTTTCAATTTAACGTTATCTGAAATTGTACATCATTGACTTTTTTCTTTTCTCTTTAGAAAATCAACAATTTCATATAGAAGTTCTTTAGACTTGGATGATTTTGCATTTCTTTAACATTTTCTGATACATTTTAATGACTTCCTCCCTTTCTTCGATGAAAATCAGAGTGTGTATATCACGCTTTAAGGATTGCCCATTATGTGGTGCTGATGTTGAGAAGATTGAGGATGATCCAGATCTTCAGGGTGTTGTTGACCGCTTCATTGAAGGCCATGGAAGGATCAAGAGGGCTCAAACAAATACTGAGGAGGAAGCGGAAGGTGAGAAGAAAACGGTGATATATGAAGATGTGTCACTTGAGCGAGGTTCTTTCTTGGTGCAGCAAGCCATGAGGGTAAGCTTGTTGGAGTTCCTGTCAGTTCCTTTGTGCTTAAATTATTAATCAATTTTTTTTATTGTTCGGGACTTAAGTGACTTATCCTTCTCCACTTTCCTCATTTGAACTGTCCAAGTAGCAATTGAATCTCAAGTTTACTTTCCATTTTTGCTTTTTGGCTGTTTAATGTGCAGGCACTTCGTGCCAATAACATAGAAAGTGCGAAATCAAGGCTTAATGTATGTGTCGAAGATGTTAAAGAACAATTGGAAACGATGGGGCACACTCCTGAATTGTGCTCGCAGCTTGGCGCTGTTCTGGGAATGCTTGGTGATTGCTGGTACGTCTTACTGCTTTCTCTCATTCTTGATCTCGATAGAAGTGAGGAAAGATTTCTTCTTGTAAAGACCTATTTCAAAGTCTTCCTGTAAAACATTTATGTTGGCGGATTCGATTTAGAAAAGAAAATAACATGGTTCTTATTTCAGTCGAGCAACTGCAGATTCTAGTTCTGCAATTGCTTATTTTGAGGAGAGCGTCAATTTTCTTATGAAAGTGCCCAAGGATGATCTTGAGGTAATTATATGATATTATGTAAATTTAGCTCCAAAGTTTGTGCAATGCTGTTAATTATTGTTTTATAAATGTGGCTTAATGAAGTTTTTTGTAATATTGATTTTTGCAGATAACACATACCCTTTCAGTTTCACTAAATAAAATTGGTGATTTAAAATATTATGATGGGGATTTGCAAGCTGCAAGGTCATATTATTCTCAGGCTTTGGATGTTCGCCGCGATGCAATGAAGCATAATTCATCTGTTCCATCTCAGGTCTGCAAACATTTTTGTGTATTGGTAATGAAGACAAATACTGGTAAATGACGTCTGTGTAAGGGGAAACAGACGGACAAGTTTTATTTGTTACCTCTGAATACCATTGTGCTGCTTGGATTTCGAAATTGTTTGCTATTGAAAATTCAATGGGCAAATTCGTTTTGGTAGCAATGATGCAAATTATTTCTGAGTTATTTTCTTTGTACATTTCCTCCATTCTACATGTAGCATCAATTTGAGTGTTCATGGAAATACGGTGTGGGGGATGTTAATGCATTATGATGAAACACAGATGTTTTAAGCAGCTGACCAGCAAACACATGGGCATTTGTGGGGCTCTTTTGGATTTTTGATTGTATTCCATCTCTAGTCTCTTTTCTTCATAAATTCTGGTATTGAGTGCTGTATCTATTTTACATTTGAGAGCCCGTACTTGTTAAGAGATTAGGTTCTTAACTTACTCCGTTTAGCTCATGAAAGGTGCACTTCCATGCTTTTGCTCCATCCTTTTGGCTCTTCTGTCCGGCCTCTGCTCCTGATCCTTGCATTTCACTCCTGCCAATTTCTCGCTTTTCATCACTCTTTATCTTTCTTTCCTTGTCTTAAATTTGTGCTTCGTTCTTTCATCTTTTTATTTTCTATTATTATCCAGATGTGTGTGGTGGAAAGTAAACCCTCCTACTGAAGAAAAAATTTGGCATTTCTTTTTCACTAGGAAAAAAAATGGCTAATACATTTGTGCCATTTCTCGTAAAACAATAACCTTGTTTAACTTTTGAAGTGCTGAAACGTTTTCTGACATCTGGAGTTAAACAATGATTGTGCTCTGTTTTGTTTAGTCTCTAATAGGCTCATTTGGGGTAATGTATAAATGCCCATTATTAAATTATTTGTTTACAGAAATTCATTATTACTGATAGCTTTTGCACTTGAAACCCTGAGGGCTGATCTATCTATAGGCACAAAACACGACCAAAACTTTCTGAAGTCTGAACATGGATGTTTTATTGTTTCATCTAGCTCCTTGATTCTAGGATATAATTATTCTGCAATAATAAGAATTTTAGAATTATCATCTACAATATTCATCTCTGATCTACTAATGTAATGCCTACTGCCAGTATTATTACCAAACCATTCTTATTGTTTAGGTAATGGAATTTTTCACAAGTTCCTACACTATTCTGATTCTGTTTGGATCTTTTTATAATTTCCAGATTTTAGATATATCTACGTCCCTTGCAAAAGTTGCTGATGTGGATAGAAATCTTGCAAACGAGGATGCAGCAGTTAGTGGATTCAAGGAGGCCATTAAAATGTTAGAATCTTTAACTATAGATGATCAAGAGGTTGGCCTTGAACAACGGGTATGATTGATAATCCTCTACTTCATCTTTATTTAGCAGTGTGGATTTCTTTTCCTTGAAAATGTGATTGAAATCCTTTCTGCGTGCAGCGTCAATCAGTGCTCAAGTTCGTCAACAGTCAACTTGAGAAGAAATAAAAGTTTTGATTTTCTCTAGTGGATATCACTCTGAGAATGTGAGAAGGATAAATCATGAAGCCGTATGCTGTTAGTTCTGCTGCTGGATCGCGTCGAATGTTTGGTCAAGAGAGGTCCATTAGAGAATTTGTTTCACGTGTAAATGAATAAATAAGTAATAGCGTAGTCAACGTGTAATGCCACTTTACCAATGTTTGCAACTCTGGTTACGGCTCTGTAATTTCTAGGAGGCTGCAGTAATAGTTTGCTTTGCCGAATAAGTTATTCTAAGGACTCGAACTTGATTTCTGTGAGATAGAAGTGATTATGATGATGAAATGAGTTGTAATTTCTGTATTGTGGATAATTCTGTTCTGAACTTGTATCTTTGCTTCTCTTCGAAAGTTGGTTTGATAAATTGCTTGGTTGCTGAAGCCACTCTTGGCCATAATACATTTAGAGAAGTTGGGTATTCGGTGCCACGTTAAAATTTTCCTTTGTAGGGCCAAGCTATACATGTTTTTATGCATATTTCGAGTGCAATCCTGCAGGCAATTAAGGGCCTGCTTGGGAGTTTCGCTATACTGATATGGAACGTTTTTTAGCAGATCGACTTCAAGTGGTTTTAATAGCGATTTTTAAAATTGTCCAATCTATGAGTGGGAGTTTATTATTGATAGGTGTATAGAATTTATACTTTAAATCGTGTTTAATTATTACTTCTTTGAGGGAATTTATTACCTAATTATGTGTAATAATATGATTTGTAGGTAAAGACAATGTTGAGCGCAATTGGTGCAAAATGTGTGAGTTTGAGTTTTATTGGAGATTAATTCAAGCACTTGAAGATCATTAAGGGTTGAAATCAATCAAATGGAAGAAGTTTTGGTTGCAATTGGATGAAACTAACAGATTAAGGACGGAAATTTGATAATTGGAGAGTTAATGGACCAAAATAGAAGTTCTGAAAACTTAAAGGCCCAAACTGCAAAAAATCAGAAAGTAGGGCAGTCACCCGCCGTTTGCAAATTTCCTGTTTGCCGCCAGTGGCCAGCAGCCCCCTCGCCCCCGGGCCCTGGGGACGAGTTTTCGCGATTTTAATTTTTTAATTTTCTTTTCATCTTTTTGAGTTTGTTTTGGATGGAAACTCTTTTACGAAGTCTAATACTATACAAAGACCAAAGGGAGACGAGAAAATTGTTCCAAAATTTGAGAACAAGAAAGAAACATATCGAAGAAAAAGCAAGAAATCAAGGGATTAAAGCATTGATTTGGGGGCAGGAAAATAATCTTGGTGCAAAATTCATCAACTTTTCTATATCTTAATTCAAAAGCTAGTGATGCATTCAATTCTTATTCTTTGTTTTTCTTCATAAATCATGAGTAACTAAACTTTTTTATTAGGGCGAATACTGTAATTTATTGAGATCTTTTAATTCAATTTTCAATATTGTAGTTCTTTAAATTTCATGTGTTCAGTTTATTTATGAATTTTAATGCTTGAATTTTTTGATCAGTTATTCATTGATCTTGTGAATTTTTAATGGGTCGAAAGGTGAGTTATAGATTTAGACCACGTAATAAAATTTGGGAACTAGTATAAAAGTGTGAAGACAACTTTTCTAGTTACTGAGATTGTTACATTGATTCTTAGAAATTGAATGCATCTGACTAAGGTGCATTCTTATTAACATAAATATATGGAATTGATTTAGTTAAATAGAATCAATTTGAACTCGAAAGAGCTAAATTGAATACATTAGAAAAATCCTGCTGAGCAATATGTTATATTAGGGATCTTGATTAAAGAATTAAATGTATTCAGTAAATGAAATTGTGTGTCCTAATATTACATTCTTATTTAAAAATCTAATTTGATTTTATGTGCATCCATTAACATCCCAATTGTTAGAAATAGTTAGACAACAATCACCCCTCTGAATTGTTTTTGGTCAAATAGAAGTAGAAATAGTAAACTTGGAATAAATAATAGTCTTGGTGGGAACGATTATCCGGACTTAAAGATTCATTATATTACTTGTTCGATATCGTATACTTGCAATAGAAAAAATCCAACAGATTTTTGGCATCGTTGTCGGGGCTATTTACATTTAATCTTAGTTTATTATGTTTTCACTTTTATTTCATTAGTTTACTTTTCTTATTTCCCTCTTCTCTTAAAAGAGAAAATGTAAGGTTTACTGTTCATTTTTGTCACATGTGTTTTCATATTGAATTGTTTGGCAATAGTAAATTATTCCATGCAATCACAGTGTAGCAATTTTTTCACACACCATTTCACCATTTTCACATGTCATCTCACTGCAATGCCACTTTCACTGCAATATTTTTCCATTTTCGCACACCACTTCACTCTATCCAATCCAATACTTTAATAATAATAATAAAGAAAAGAAACTAAATTTAAAGATTAAAAAAAGAATTGCAAGCAAAAAATATATATATATATTATAAATTTTTTAAATTAAATTGAAAAAATTAAAATTAAAAATAAATATTATTTAATTTAAATATAACAAATTATGTTCTATCGTAAAAAATATATAAATATTATTTAATTAAACAAAATAAAAAAAAGTTACAAAAATTAAACAAAGAATATATAAATATTATTTAATTAAAATTTAAAAATTAAATATTATTATAAATAGAAAAGAATTAAAAAGAATTTTAAATCAAAAAAATTATAATATGAACAAAATAAACTTTAAAAAAATGAGGAAAAAAAATCTCTCCCTCTATGGAGGGGAGATTATCTCCATCCACAGAAAGATTGTCTCTCCTTTCAAAAGGAGAGTTCTCTCCTTTCAAAGGAGAGACACTCTCCATGAGACTCCATCTCACGGAGAGATCTCTCCAATGGATGGAAATTTTTTTCCTTATTTATTTAATTTGTTTTGTTTATATTATAGATAATTTTTTTCCTATTTAAAATTTTTGAATTCTTTTCTCTTTATGATTGAATTTAATTTTTTTCAATTATTGTTTTCCTCTCCGTGAAAGGAGAATTTTTTTTTTGTTTAAAATTTTTTCAATATTAATTTTTTCTATTTAAGTCTTTTTTATTATAAAAAATATGAAGTAATCAAACGTGAAGGTTCTACCATCTATCACCCTTTCAAGTCACTAATTATCTCTCCTTCAATTCAATCGATTTCTCTCCAAAATTTCAGTTTTCGTTTACGAAAAGAAAAGCTCTCCGAATTCTTGTTTCTTTCTGTGGAAAAAAAATCGTGCAATCCTCATCTCGATCGCAGTGAAGAAAATCGTAGAATTTGTAACAGTTATCTTTGGATATGTTCTTGCAAATTTTTTATGTTTGTGTATTCGTTTTTTAGTTTTTTAAGATTTATTTAAAGTGTGTAGTTTTTGTTTCTGTGTATAGAAGAAAATCTAGCTTGGCTCATCTTTCTCTACCTCAATGTGAGGTATGTTTTTGTCTCTGTATATACGTGAAAACCTAATTGGAGTTTTTTTTTCTTGGATATGGATATGAAGTTTATGTTTTGGTTGGATATTTGCTTTCTTGTGGATTTATTTTTTATTTTCTTAGCTTTTTTTAATTTAACATATATATATATA